TATAAAAAAATAGGGTTTTTTGGATGGACCTGGTCCCCTCGGTATCAAAAATTTTTAGGTTTTGTTTCATTTATCGTATTTTATGTAAAGTCAGCTTTTCAAAAAGTATAAATTCTATATACATCTTCTTAGAAACTTTTTAGATAACTTAAAAAGAAAAAGATACTTTTTTCCCAAAAAAATGGCAAAAAATCGCCTTTTTTTAATTTTTTAAATTAAAATGCCTATAACTTTGGACTCAGTCATGATTTTTACATAATTCTTTCACTGCTTGATATATAAACTTGTTGTTAAGCGAATAAAAAAAGAAATGGCGAAAATCGGGAATATTTGGACCCGCTATTATCAAAAAACTAAAGTAAGAACGGTAAAAATTTTAAAATTTTAATTTTCAAATGCGAATATTTCCTAAACTATAAGAGATAATTTACTACTATGACGACATTTTTTATAGTGCTCGATGAGGAGATTCTATATACGAAATTTTTTTTAAATCGGAACTCAAATGAAGAAATAGGATCGTTTTAAAAATTTAACATAGCCGAGGTGTCCTAATTTGAGGACCCCCCGCCGGGCCCCTGGTTGGCCTATAAGGTCCAAATTCAAAACCTAAACTCGACAACACCTCCTCTTTAAAATCGGATTAACCGTTTAGAAGTTACCGAATTATTTCCCTCTTTTTTTTTTCCTATACCACTGTGCATCGTTAGCCATGTACTAAAATCACCTTTGTGTTCTTTAAAATTGGGTTAATGGTCTCTAGCTCACCCTGTTGTTGAAAAAGTACTACGGTGGAATAGCGCTATATGCCAGCCAATCGGTCTTATGTAAAATGGCCGATCTCGTGCCTGTTATGCACTCTTCTTCATGAAGTGTTCAGTTAGTGTTGAATGTTCATGAGCGATGTAATATCTGAAAAAACAACACTCCCAATATATTTGAATCTTAAGATATTTAGATCTTGTTTCGGGGAAATCCTGGAATTTACAGAGAAAGCGTTGCATGCTCTAGATTCGTCTAAATCAGTGCGTCCAATTTCGTATAGTCCACTAAGAATACGTAATTCTTAGAAATTCCGTTTCCTGGTTGTAGTTCCTTAGAATTTTCCAATCAGTCTTCATAAGGGATGTAATATCTGCAATAACATCACTCCTATGATATTTAAATCTTAATTTAATGAAAGCCTGAGAAATACGTATCTCTGTCCTGTTCGCATGTTCTATGCTTGTCTGAATCTTTGCTCCAATTGTATATAGATCACTAAAAATACGTAATTCCTTCTAAGGTGGCTTCTCGTTCTGATCTAGTTATCTCCCATAGAATTTTAGTAGTTTTTAATTCAAACGATGTGTTCCTCAATTGCGTTCCATTGGATATAGTAATCTCGAAGTCCTCTTCTTTCCTTTAAAAATAATTTCTTAAATTTTGTTTAGCTTTGTAATTAATCAACTTTTTGAAGTCAACAATTAACTTAGAGAAATACATAATAATTTGGTAACATTTAAACATTTCCTCTGTTATTATGACCATTTATTTAATTCAAATTTCATTTATTTTTTGTTCCACTTATTATTTATACTATTTAGTGCAACTGATTAACTATAATCATACACTTAATTATCATCACCCAATTGTCATTGTCGACAAAAAAAAAAACCCCTCCTTCTGTAAAAATAAACATAAATTCAAACCAAGTGAAGTAATAATTTATGAAATCAATATAAAATATGTTTGAGTAAAAACAAAGTGATAGATTAAAACAACAAAATTTTTAATTAAAAAAATATGTTTTTTTTTTGTTTTTGTTTTTGTGACAAAATTTCTTAATGGATGCGTTATTTGTTAAAAAAAAAAGTAAAACTAAATTAGTTGATGTATTTATGTTAATTTATAGCCGGAATTGACAAATCGTTTAGGTGTAGTATGTTGTTTAGTTTGTTTGTACAATTTTGTAAATATTTTTATATAAAAATATACAAATTTATATTCAAAATTATTTAATTATAACATATTTAACCCTTGTGTTGTGTTACTGAAATGTTTTACTATGATTAGAAGACCTAACAAGTTCAAATAACATGTTTAAGGTTGGTCTCTAACTTTGCCAATACTTTTACTTTATTAATCACTTACTTTATAAATAATCACTTTAAATTAAGTTTATTTACAATAATTTGTAGTCAATTTTAACAAATTAACTAATCTATAACTATTTTTTTATTTTAACATTCTATCAATTAAATTAGCAAATTAATTGCTTGAACTCTTGGGCATTTAAAATTAACGTTTCCGTTATCATAATAAAACACCTAAAAGCATGCTTAACATATATGAAGCATTGCCATATAGAAATATTTGTAAATTTTTTAAGGCAAATGTTAGCAAGGTGTGTTGTGGGAAATATAAGTGATCACAGATATTCACTATTTTCTCAATTGGAGCGTTATTTAAGGAATTACAGCCGATTTTATGTTTTTCTTGTAAAAATCGATTTTTAGTGGGAAATATGAGTGATCACAGATTTTCACTATTTTCTCAATTGGAGCGTTATTTGAGAAACTACAGCCGATTTTAAGTTTTTCTTATAAAAATCGATTTTAAGAGAAAAATAGGAGTAATCACAGATTTTCACTATTTTCTCCATTAAAGCGTTATTTAAGGAGCTACAGCCGATTTAAAGTTTTTCCTAGAAAATTCGATTTTTAGTGGGAAATATGAGAGATCACAAATTTTCACTATTTTCTCAATTAAAGCGTTATTTAAATTTTCACTATTTTCTCAATTGGAGCGTTATTTAAGGAACTACAGCTGGTTTTATGTTTTTCCCATAAAAATCGTTTTTCGTTGGTAAATATGAGTGATCACAGATTTTCACTATTTTCTCAATTAGAGCGTTATTTAAGGAACTACAGCCGATTTAAAGTTTTTTCTATGAAAATCGATTTTTAGTGCGAAATATGAGTGATCACAGATTTTCACTATTTTCTCGATTGGAGCGTTTTTTAAGGAACTACAGCCGATTTTATGTTTTTCCTATAAAAATTGCTTTTGGTGGGAGTGGGAGTGATCACAGATTTTCACTATTTCCTCAATTGGAGCGTTATTTAAGGAACTACAGTCGATTTAAAGTTTTTTCTATGAAAATCGATTTTTAGTGGGAAATATGAGTGATCACAGATTTTCACTATTTTCTCAATTGGAGCGTTATTTAAGAAACTACAGCCGATTTTATGTTTATCCTACAAAAATCGTTTTTTGGTGGGAAATATGAGTGATCACAGATTTTCACTATTTCCTCAATTGGAGCGTTATTTAAGGAACTACAGCCGATTTTATGTTTCTTATATAAAAATCGCTTTTAGTGGGAAATATTAGTGATCACAGATTTTCACTATTTTCTCAATTGGAGCGTTATTTAAAGAACTACAGCCAATTTTAAGTTTTTCCTATAAAATCGATTTTTAATGGGAAATATGAGTGATAACAGATTTTTACTATTTTCTCAATTGGAGCATTATTTAAGGAACTACAGCCGATTTTATGTTTTTCCTATAAAAATCGATTTTTAGTGGGAAATATGAGTGATCACAGATTTGCACTATTTCCTTAATTGAAGCGTTATTTAAGGAACTACAGCCGATTTTAAGTTTTTCCTATAAAAATCGATTTTTGGTGGAAAATATGAGTGATCACAGATTTTCACTATTTTCTCAATTGTAGCGTTATTTAAGGAACTAAGTCGATTTTATGTTTTTCCCATAAAAATCGTTTTTTGGTGGGAAATATGAGTGATCACATATTTTAACTATTTTCTCAATTGGAGCGTTATTTAAGGAACTACAGTCGATTTTATGTTTTTCCTATAAAAATCGATTTTTAGTGGGAAATATGAGAGATCACAGATTTTCACTATTTTCTCAATTGGAGCGTTATTTAAGGAACTACAGCCGATTTTAAGTTTTTCTTTTAAAAATCGATTTTTAGTTGGAAATATGTGTGATCACAGATTTTCACTAGTTTCTTAATTAGAGCGTTATTTAAAGAACTACAGCCGATTTTATGTTTTTCCTATAAAAATCGATTTTTAGTGGGAAATATGAGTGATCACAGATTTTCAATATTTTCTCAATTGGAGCGTTATTTAAGGAACTACAGCCGATTTTATGTTTTTCCTATAAAAATCGATTTTTAGTGGGAAATATGAGAGATCACAGATTTTCACTATTTTCTCAATTGGAGCGTTATTTAAGGAACTACAGCCGATTTTAAGTTTTTCTTTTAAAAATCGATTTTTAGTGGGAAATATGTGTGATCACAGATTTTCACTAGTTTCTCAATTCGAGCGTTATTTAAGGAACTACAGCTGATTTTATGTTTTTCCTATAAAAATCGTTTTTTAGTGGGAAATATGAGTGATCACAGTTTTTCACTATTTTCTCAATTCGAGCGTTATTTAAAGAACTACAGCCCATTTAAAGTTTCTTATTCAAAAATCAATTTTTGGTGGAAATATAAGTGATCACAGATTTTCACTACTTTCTCAATTGGAGCGTAATTTAAGGAACTACAGCCGATTTTATGTTTATCCTACAAAAATCGTTTTTCGGTGGTAAATATGAGTGATTACAGATTTTCACTATTTTCTCAATTGTTATTTAAGGAACTACAGCCGATTTTAAGTTTTTCCTATAAAAATCGATTTTTAGTGGGAAATATGAGTGATCACAGATTTACTCTATTTTCTCAATTGAAGCGTTATTTAAGGAACTACAGCCGATTTAAAGTTTTTTCTATAAAAATCGTTTTTAGTGAGAAGTATGAGGGATCACAAATTTTGCACTATTTTCTCAATTGGAGCGTAATTTTAGGATCTACAGCCGGTATTCTATTGATTTGTCTATGCATCGGATTTTGTACTAGTTGATAAGTAACTACTCTATTAACTTACGTGTTTGCTTTCATTAATGCTTCATATAAAACAAAATATTTAAGATTTTAACAAAACATAAAATCTGCACTTTATTAATTAACATTATTAAACACTGCACATTTAAAAAAACTACATTAAAATTAAGACAAAAAAATATAACAAATATTACACAAAAACACTTTAAAATTTAATGGACAATTAAGAAGCAAACGTCAAACATTAGCGCAACATGACAGAGAGTTACAAACTCATGTTGGGGAAATTTGTTTACAAAATGATTAAGAAAACAATTGAATTGAATAATAATACGTTGACTAAATTTAAAGAATATTTGATATGTTAGTACATAAACTTAGAAATAAACATGCAAATAATCCATGCAAAAAGGGTTAATTTAATATATAGAGAGAAACTTTAGTTGAGAAATAAATTTAAGCACAAATTTAAGATTTATTAAATCTTTTAAATAAAATTATTATAATTATATACAAAGCTTATTTTGTAGATTATTTAAGTAGGGATTAAGTAGTTGCAATAAATAAAATTAAAAAAGAAATTAACTCTTAACACTTTACTAAACTAAATTGAACACTTGACAAACTATTTTTGATAAATATACTTAAGTTGTTTAAAGAGACAAGTTTATAAATACATTTTGTTATTACTAAAGCGCCTTTTTTTGTTAATAAAAATAGATTTGTTTGTTAAATAGGAATTCTGTTCATTTACAAAACGTTTAAGTATGTTTTGTTAAGGCACATGTTACATACTAGGTTTTTGTTTTTAAGTTAATAATTATATTTACAGATTATTTTCATGGAAATAGCTAAATGGTAATTGTGCTTTTTTTTATATATATATACTTAATTAACTAAATTTATCAATTATGGCTAAGTTATGTTGATGGGTATGGACTGGTTCTGTTCTGAGACTGTTCTTCTTTTATAATATTAGGCAGCCGGTGGTTTACCATGTACACGGAAACGATATAGACAGGTGTACAAAGAGTGTCCATGATTGGATTCAATGCGCAATTCGACAATTTCATAGGGTCTCTTGATGTTTTTATTTTGTAGTGGGAAGTACTGCAATGAAGCATCATTATCGGTGTATTCATACTCACCAAATAGAATTGGTTCCTGATCCTTCTCATGCTCAAGACCCTAAATTTTGGGGATGTTAACAAGATACATATTATTTGAACTCATTAAGAAATAATTTTGTGGAAAATTTCGCTTCTAGTTCAGTTCAAGTTCAATTCTAGTTCTTTTATACTTCAGTTCTAGTTCTGTTCTAGTTCAGTTCTAGTTCAGTTCCAGTTCAGTTCTAGTTCATTTATACTTCAGTTCTAGTTCAGTTCTAGTTCATTTATACTTCAGTTCTAGTTCAGTTCTAGTTCAGTTCTAGTTCAGTTCTAGTTCAGCTCTAGTTCATTTCTAGTTCAGTTCTAGTTTAGTTCTAGTTCAGTTCAGTTCTAGTTCAGTTCAGTTCTAGTTCAGTTCTAGTTCAGTTCTAGTTCAGTTCTCAGTTCTAGTTCAGTTCTAGTTCAGTTCTAGTTCAGTTCTAGTTCAGTTCTAGTTCAGTTCTAGTTCAGTTCTAGTTCAGTTCTAGTTCAGTTCTAGTTCAGTTCTAGTTCAGTTCTAGTTCAGTTCTAGTTCAGTTCTAGTTCAGTTCTAGTTCAGTTCTAGTTCAGTTCTAGTTCATTTCAGTTCTAGTTCAGTTCTAGTTCAGTTCTAGTTCAGTTCTAGTTCAGTTCTAGTTCAGTTCTAGTTCAGTTCTAGTTCAGTTCTAGTTCAGTTCTAGTTCAGTTCTAGTTCAGTTCTAGTTCAGTTCTAGTTCAGTTCTAGTTCAGTTCTAGTTCAGTTCTAGTTCAGTTCTAGTTCAGTTCTAGTTCAGTTCTAGTTCAGTTCTAGTTCAGTTCTAGTTCAGTTCTAGTTCAGTTCTAGTTCAGTTCTAGTTCAGTTCTAGTTCAGTTCTAGTTCAGTTCTAGTTCAGTTCTAGTTCAGTTCTAGTTCAGTTCTAGTTCAGTTCTAGTTCAGTTCTAGTTCTAGTTCAGTTCTAGTTCAGTTCTAGTTCAGTTCTAGTTCAGTTCTAGTTCAGTTCTAGTTCAGTTCTAGTTCAGTTCTAGTTCAGTTCTAGTTCAGTTCTAGTTCAGTTCTAGTTCAGTTCTAGTTCAGTTCTAGTTCAGTTCTAGTTCAGTTCTAGTTCAGTTCTAGTTCAGTTCTAGTTCAGTTCTAGTTCAGTTCTAGTTCAGTTCTAGTTCAGTTCTAGTTCAGTTCTAGTTCAGTTCTAGTTCAGTTCTAGTTCAGTTCTAGTTCAGTTCTAGTTCAGTTCTAGTTCAGTTCTAGTTCAGTTCTAGTTCAGTTCTAGTTCAGTTCTAGTTCAGTTCTAGTTCAGTTCTAGTTCAGTTCTAGTTCAGTTCTAGTTCAGTTCTAGTTCAGTTCTAGTTCAGTTCTAGTTCAGTTCTAGTTAGTTCAGTTCAGTTCTAGTTCAGTTCTAGTTCAGTTCTAGTTCAGTTCTAGTTCAGTTCTAGTTCAGTTCTAGTTCAGTTCTAGTTCAGTTCTAGTTCAGTTCTAGTTCAGTTCTAGTTCAGTTCTAGTTCAGTTCTAGTTCAGTTCTAGTTCAGTTCTAGTTCAGTTCTAGTTCAGTTCTAGTTCAGTTCTAGTTCAGTTCTAGTTCAGTTCTAGTTCAGTTCTAGTTCAGTTCTAGTTCAGTTCTAGTTCAGTTCTAGTTCAGTTCTAGTTCAGTTCTAGTTCAGTTCTAGTTCAGTTCTAGTTCAGTTCTAGTTCAGTTCTAGTTCAGCTCTAGTTTAGTTCTAGTTCAACAACAGATTTGATTAAAAAATTCAAACTTACCCAAACTGTGAAATTTCTAGGTGCCGAGTCAATGCGTCCATTGGGCGCCAAACTTTTGGGTATATGTTCCAATGTAAAACCAGTTACATAAACCAATGAGTTCAATTTGAGAACTAAATAACAAAATTGAAACATTAAATAAATGAAATTGTCATTAAAAACTTTCCAAACTTACCCAAAAATCCTGGAAAACCTTGAAAAGCCCAACACTCACCCGGTTGTACATTGGGCGAGATGGCTATTCTAGGCGTGTTAGTGGGATACCATAAGGGTATACCGAATACTGATATTTGAGCCGTTTTAGTTTGATAGTTTTCGGTACAACGGGTGGAGAGTATTTGGCCACCGGCCGATTCTAAAGCAAAATCCACAAGACCCGTTTTATCAGCATCATAAATGGCTAAAACAGATTTAACAATATTGCGAACTTCTTGCTCGGATAGAGCCTCCTTTATTTGTCCTTTAAGAACAGCCTGAGTTTCTTTTTGCTTATTTTCTACACTAATGATAATTTCCTGTTTCAGACGTTCGCTAATGTCACGCATTAAGAACATGCCAGATTTATCAATTTCCTGTTTGATTTTATCATTTGTACGATTGTTAATTTCCGCCAAACGTAATTCTAAATAATCTTTGGCCACAAACATATTGCGTACCCAATTCTGTAGATCTATCTCCGAGAGTTGAGCACCATCTTTGGTTGTGTCTTTAAAACCTAAAATTTCGATTAAAGATAATTTAACTTGTTGATTGAGTAAAGAGAATTGATCATCCTTGAGTGTATTGAGTTTTGAGGTGATTTCCTGTAAAAGATTGTTAAACTTTTGGTCGGTAGACAATTCCAATTCCTGCAAACGTAGTAGTAAAGCATCTTGAGTCTGCTGCAATTGTTTGATGGAATAATGTAAATCCTCATTTTCCGCAAGTTTATCATTGAAGGCAAGTTTTATAAAGGCTATATCTTTGTTTAAATTGTCTATTATAAGTTTTTGTTGTTCTATACTCAATTTATAATGATCATCACCCGATGTTTGAGATTGCTGTAAAAGTATTAGCTTTTCTTGTAGTTTATCATTAAGTTGTGAGGAGATTTCTGATTGTATATAGTTGGAGAAGAGAGGAGCTTTTAAAAGTTTAGCAATTAAAGCATCTAAATCCAATTTTTCTACTATTAATTTATAATGAGCATGATTATTAACTTCTATGGTTTGTGTTATCAAATTTTTAATCTCTTCTATATTGTCTGGGGAAAGCTTTAAAGGTTTATTAAAGCTTTGAGTATTTTCCAGTTTTAATAAAACTTTTTGTATGATAAGGTTTAGATCATTATCCGAGAGTGAAGCTGAGCTGTCGCTAAAACGCTTTTGCCTGGATAAAGCTTCCAAGTTTTCTTTGATTATTTGTACTATTAATTGAGTTTGTTTGGTATTAAGCTCCCAGCCTTTTTCCAATTGTTTTTGTTGTTGTTCTTGTAGCTTTACATCTACCAGCTGGTGTATATAGCTGTTAATGTGATTCAAAATATTTTCATATTCCTCTGGTGCCATAGATTTCGATAAAGATAATTTCAAATCTTCCATATTTTGACTAGTGGCACTGTGCGTCGAGGAAGCGAATAGAGGCATAAAGCTTTTTAGAGTATGAATATTGGTATAAAGTGAACTTCTAAGGGTGGTGATAAGTGAAAGTGGTACCAATGAATGCCAACGTTGTGCAATTAATAAACGATCTTGTTCATCCAAAAGCCACCAAGCTAAACGCAAGAATTTAAGTGAAAAAGAAACACAAAAAGGGAAAGTTGGGATTAGAAAAAAAATACTCTAAAGTTTACCTTCTTCATTTGTTAACAAAAAAGCAGGAGTGGAAGGATTAAAGTAAATTTTTGGTTTTTTTAATATTAAACTAAATTTCTATTTAAAACTAATTTGAAACTTAACCAACAAAATAATAAAACAAATGAAGAAGGATAGAGTAGTTTTTTTCTAGTTTTTGTTAAGCAAACGAATGTAAAACGTTTCCCTTTTTGTGTTTTGTAACTGCTACTCACCTTTATTTGTTAAATTGGAAATAAAACTCTTTTTTAAATTTGTGTGTGTGAGAGGGTGTTTTTTAAAGTGTTACTAAAACAAAGTTGTTTTTATTAATTAATATTTTTGTTTGGTTTTTTTTTAGTGAAATTACAATTAAACACAAGTTATATAGACAAACAGAAATGAAATTAATTTTATGTTGTTTTACAACTATTTAAATCAAAGACACACATTGTTTAGGAAAATGTTTTAATTTTTTTTTATATATAAAAAATAAATTTTATAATTATATATTATTAATTAAATGGTATTGCAGCGTTGTGTTACACTCTATCCTTCTCCAATTTGTTGTAATTGTTTTTTGTAAGTTGCTGTAACCCTTTGTTTATTTTTAAGGGGCGTGGGGGAGGGGGGGTAAAGGGTTTTTTGTTAATGGTTTTAGGAAATAAACTAAAATCGACAAGCCGAAATTATAAAAAATGCTTTAAATTTGTACGTTTTTGTGTTATTAGAACTAAAAGTTACATCGTTTTCTTATTGAATCTTAGCGATTGCTCAACACTTTCTGAAAATTTAGTTTTATGCGATGTAACTTAAAAAAATTATATAAAAAAATAAAATTACCAACTAAATTCTTATTATAAATATGAAAAAAATTATTAAAAACTTAAATTTCCATTTGCCCTACAAACTTTAATTGAAAACTTTTCTTGGAACCTACTTATACTGACAACATTTCTTACACAAGTGTATTTATCATGGGGTAAGGTTTGCTCTAAAAGCAAAAGTTTGTCATGTAGTTTTTCATTCAGATATAAAGACGTTTCAGTTTGTATATAGTTCGAGTAGGAAGTTTCTTTCAATAGTTTAACAATTAAGGAACTAAATCCAATAACATATTCTATATGATATTAGTTTTTAAATTTCTATATAAAGTTCTTATATAGTCTTCTGAAAGCTTCCATGGTTTGTTACTGTTTAAAGAATACTCCTGTTTTAATAGGAGATCTCACACTGTGTTATTGTCTTGTCCTAACTTCTACACTAGCCTGCATTAAGAACCTTCTGATATCAAGAAATTTGTCCCTTTGAAACTTAATAATATGTATGAGATTTTCAAGCGTTAGTTTCCTCACTTATACTTCAGATCACCCTGCTGTGTTCACATTCAAAAAGTCCTATTACTCAGACCTAGAAATGTTTAACCCAAAGACCAAGGTATACTTTCCTAAAGGATAGAGTTGCGCTGAATCCGAATTTGCTAAATTATACTTTGATATTGTTTGAACAAATCACTCTGCTGTGTTCACATCGAACAAGTCGTATTACTCTGGCCAACAAATACACTTTTCTATAAGGTGCAGCTACGCTAAATCCGAATTTGACCACAAAAATTTCACATCATATCAGATTTCCGAGATTTTATCAATCATACTTCGATATTGTTGCTGCTGTGTTCACATTGAACAAGTTTTTCACCATATTCTACAGGTTATAGTAGCTTGAAGTCAGTTTTATTTATAAAATTTGTTATGCCGTTTGGAGGTCCCCTCAATTGACTTTAACATAAAGCTTTAATCTCGTTTATATCTTGTTCCTTTTTCGAGATATCGTAAGCTAAAGTTTGAATCAACTTTAATTTAAAAAAACTCAATTTTTAGCTGAATTTTTCCCATAACAATGTCTTATGTATTGTTCTGATATCTCTTCTATTTGCTGAGATATTGTACGTTAAAGTTTTTGGGATTATTTGCTTCAAACTTTAGATTAAGATATCTAAAAGTTGGAACAAGATATAACAGATGTTAAACATTCATTTTAAAGCCAATAACTAAAACTTTCAGATGACATAATAAGGCTAAAAATAGGCGTTTTTTGAAAACCAGATGTGTTGGATATTAAAGTAGATTTCATTGCAGATTAATCTTTAACTTTAGACTAAGATATATAAAAGAATGAACTAGATATAAAAGAAGTTCAATAGCCAATAGTTAGAACTTTCAGGTGTCATATCAAACTTTAAAAATAAACGTTACTTTGTGCTGTTATAACGTCTCGAATATGGCAGTAAGTTTTCAAAAATTAGGCTGATATATTTCGAAAGTCTGATGTGATGACTAAATTCTAAGATTAGATTCGATTTCAGCGCTGTTTAATCCTTTATAAAAGTATACTCTAGTACCTGGGTTTCTAGGAATTGTAACTTATTTCTTAAAAATAGAAAAAAATCAACAAAATTTTGTTTCCAATTACTTTTCAGATTGTTAGGGCTAAATTTATATATTTATTTATACCAGGCAAAAATTTAAGAATTTATTCTAAATTAACTAATTTCAAGACTACTACTTGTGAAAGTAATACAATGTCTTCAATTATAAAAAAAGTAATTGTGTACACAGAAAAAATTTATTTTAAAAATTTTTCAATTAAACGATTAATCGAAAATTTTAAAAGGGTTCAATTCATTTTGTATTTGAATCATAAAAATGTATAATCAAATACGTATTTAACAACAACAAAAATATAAAAAAATAAAAATTTTTTATACGAAATCAATTATAAGTAGTAATTGAATATACATTTTTTGTTATAGGTTGAACTTCAATAAATAAAATAATTGAAATCGAGGTTTTGGTAATTGAAAATGTTATTCAGTATTTTCTGTGTACTTTTTCTCAAAATTAGTATAAAGAAAATAGTTTTTTTTTTCAAAACTTAAATATGCAATTCAATGTTATAATTATAATAAAACGAAATAATTTTGATTAAAGACATTTATATTAAATATAAAAAAAGAAAAAAGTTATAATACAAAACAAACAAAATAATAAATAAATAACAAAAAAGGAAAAAATATAAAACAAAACAAAAAAAGGAAAAATAAAATAAAACAAAAGAAAGCAAAAAAAAAATGATATATAGACCAATAATAAAAATAAAAAATTAAACAAAAAACAATTAAAAAAAAATATAAAATAAACCAAAAGTGATTGAGACAAGAAAAAAAAAAAAGAAACTTAAAAAATAATACTCAAACAAATTAACCTCTATATTTCAATTATTGGTTCAATAGTTTGTAATATTTAATAGCAAAATTATTAAAAGTCTTTAATAGACTAATTTTTAAAATAAAATTGAAAGATTTTTTCATAAAAATTTTTTAGAAACTATTATTTATAACCAAATATTTGTACTCTTGAAGAAAATTATAAATGAAAACTATTTAATGTGGTTTATTTGCAATAGTAGCAAATATGCAAGATAAGAAACAAAATAAACTTAAAAGAATGCTATTTTTTTTTTGCTACCCTTGTAAATATACCACAAAGAGTTATTTTACTTTAAGTAAAAGTAAGAGAAATGTTGTTTAGATAAACTTAAAGCTAAAGCCTTTAATAAAAAAAAAGTAAGAAATGGCTTGTTTCAAAACTATTCAATTAAAAACGAAAATTGTAGTAGAAATATTTAACTAAAAACCTACATTAAGTATTAATATTAATTATAATTTGAAATTTACAGCCCATTTTTTATAAAAAGTGTAAGAAAGAACTCAATAAGAATTTTGTTCGTATATAAATTTTCCAGATCTTTATAAATTGTTCAATTAAATTTTAGAGATATTTAAGTTTGTTTTACCACTATACACCAGTCTGTTTACTAGTTTATACACTAGTCTATTGACTAGTCTATACACTATCCTATTGACTAGTCTATACACTATCCTATTGACTAGTCTATGCACTAGTCTATTGACTAGTCTTTACCCTAGTCTATTGACTAGTATATACACTAGTCTACTGACTAGTCCTTACACTAGTCTATTGACAAGTTTATACACTAGTCTATAATCTAGTCTATTGATTAGTCCATACACTAGTCCATTGACTAGTATCTACACTAGTCTATTGACTAGTCTACACACAAGTCTATTGACTAGCCTATACGTTAGTCTATACACTAGTCTATTGACTAGTTTATAAGCTGGTCTATTGACTAGTCTATACGCTAGTCTATTGATTAGTCCATTGACAAGTATATTCACTAGTCTATTGACTAGTCTACACACTAGTCTATTGACTAGTCTTCACGCTAGTCTATTGGCTAGTCTATACGCTAGTTTATTGACTAGTCTGTCTATATACTAGTCTATTGACCATTCTATACACTAGTCTATACGCTAATCTATTAACTGGTCTGTCTATATAATAGTCAATAGCCTAGTGACCAGACAAGTTAATAGACTAGCGTATTGACTAGTCAATAGACTAGTGACCAGACCAGTTAATAGACTAGCGTATAGACTGGTCAATAGTCTATTAACTGGTCTGTCTATATTCTAGTCTATTGACTAGTCAATAGACTAGTGACCAGACCAGTTAATAGACTAGTGTATAGACTGGTCAATAGACTAGTATATAGACAGACTAGTCAATAGACTAATGTATAGACTAGTGTATAGACTAGTCACTAGATTAGTATACATATAGACAGACTACTCAATAGAATAGCGTATAGACTAGTCAATAGACCAGACAGTAGTCCATTGACTAGTCTATATACCAGTCTATCGACTAGTCTATTGACTAGTCTATACACTAGTCTATTCACTAGTCAATTTACTAGCCTATACAATAGTCTATTGATTAGTCTATACACTAGTCTATAGATTAGTATCTACACTAGTCTGTACACCAGTTTATAACCAGAGAGTAGTCTATTGACTAGTCTATACACTAGTCTATTTACTAGCCTATACAATAGTCTATTGATTAGTCTATACACTAGTCTTTTGACTAGTATCTGCACTAGTCTGTACACCAGTTTATAACTAGTCTGTACACAAATCTAAACACCAGTCTATACACTATTATATTGACTATTCTATACAATAGTTTATTGACTAGTCTATATACTGGTCTATAAACCAGTCTATTGACTAGTATCTAAACTAGTCTATTCACTAGTCAATACACTAGTTTATTGACTAGTCTATACACAAGTCTATGCACTAGTCTATTGACCAGTCTTTACACTATTATATTGACTATTCTATACAATAGTTTATTGACTAGTCTATATACTGGTCTATAAAACAGTCTATTGACTAGTATCTAAACTAGTCCATACATTAGTCTATTGACTAGTCAATACACTAGTTTATTGACTAGTCTATACACTAGTCTATGCACTAGTATATTGACTAGTCTTTACACTAGTATATTGACTAGTCTATACACTGGTCTATTGACTAGTCTATATACTAGTCTATTAACAAGTCTATACACTAGTCTATTGATTTATCTGCTGACTAGTCTATATTATATATATTATATATTATAGACTGCCCTATACACTAATCAATGGACTGATTGGACTGCCCTATACACTAATCAATGGAATTAAACAGGGAATAATGAAGTGAGTCCTAAAAACTAATTTATATCTAAATGCTTTTTAAAAATAGGCTGTTAAATTTCAAAAAAAAATAATAAGTTTCAAAAAAGAAAGGAAGAGTAATTTTCCTCTCACACTACCTAAACACGTTCATAATATTCCTCACGTTGAAACATTTTACGACCCTCATCTACAAGATTTTGTGAAACAGTTTTTAAATACAAAAAATAATCATTAGACCAATCACGTAAATCGTCGAAACGATTAAAGGCTTGAGTTTTTAATTCATTATATTTTTCCTCATTAATATATTCGGACATGTCGATTTTAGGTAATTCGGGTAGAGTAAAAGTATATTCGGAAAATGATTTGGGTGGGAAGGGTTCATTGGGATGGAGATAATAGTAAAGGCCTGTAATTTTTTAAAAAATTTTATAGAGAGAGAAAAGAAAATAAAGAAAAAAATATATATAATAAATAAAATTAAATTTAAAGGTAATAAAGTCTACATAATACTATTTTAGTGGAAAAAGGAGTAGACTTATAAGAGAACAGGCGGTTGCTGCAAATAGACTCAGTGGATTTAAGAGATTTCTTCAAACTTTTTTTACACTAATCAATGACACATTATTGAGAAGATAAAACAACAAATATTTTTATAAACAAATGGCCTTGTGTAAAAATTAAGGTCATATTTAATATTTAAAATATTTATGTTAAAAACAATTATTTTCTTAAAACAAAAATTTTAAGAAAATTTAAAATAAACGAGAGAAAAGTCTATTAATCCACTAAGTTTTTTGTAACAACCTGAAATATATATATAGAAGAAAATATATAAAAAAGAGACACACTCACCCGCTAACAATAACAATGGCAACAGCATTAATAAAAATAACAAAAAACGTTTTTTGCTTTTACTTTCAGCATTTGAAGATTGTAGCAGCCACGTATCCAAACATAAAACGGAAGATATAAACAAATATAGATGGCGTACAATGGCTAAGAAGGCGGACGAAATGCCATGAACAATGGAACCAAAGAAACCTAGAACAAATTGCAAACAAATTAACACATTAATATTTCAATCAAGGAAAAGTGCTATAATTGGCTGCTCCGAATCTTATATACCCTTCATTATACCCATTATTTTATAAAAAATTTAAGTTTTTAATTTTTACAATTATTTTTAAAAATTTATTTGTCTAGCGTATAGTCTAGCCTATATTTTAGTCTATAGTCTAGTCTATAGTCTAGTCTATAGTCTAGTCTATAGTCTAGTCTATAGTCTAGTCTATAGTCTAGTCTAGTCTAGTCTATATCTAGTCTATAATCTAGTCTATAGTCTAGTCTATAGTCTAGTCTATAGTCTAGTCTATAGTCTAGTCTATAGTCTAGTCTATAGTCTAGTCTATAATCTAGTCTATAGTCTAGTCTATAGTCTAGTCTATAGTCTAGTCTATAGTCTAGTCTATAGTCTAGTCTATAGTCTAGTCTATAGTCTAGTCTATAGTCTAGTCTATAGTCTAGTCTATAGTCTAGTCTATAGTCTAGTCTATAGTCTAGTCTATAGTCTAGTCTATAGTCTAGTCTATAGTCTAGTCTATAGTCTAGTCTATAGTCTAGTCTATAGTTAGTCTAGTCTATAGTCTAGTCATGTCTAGTAGTCTAGTCTATAGTCTAGTCTATAGTCTAGTCTATAGTCTAGTCTATAGTCTAGTCTATAGTCTAGTCTATAGTCTAGTCTATAGTCTAGTCTATAGTCTATAGTCTAGTCTATAGTCTAGTCTATAGTCTAGTCTATAGTCTAGTCTATAGTCTAGTCTATAGTCTAGTCTATAGTCTAGTCTATAGTCTAGTCTATAGTCTAGTCTATAGTCTAGTCTATAGTCTAGTCTATAGTCTAGTCTATAGTCTAGTCTATAGTCTAGTCTATAGTCTAGTCTATAGTCTAGTCTATAGTCTAGTCTATAGTCTAGTCTATAGTCTAGTCTATAGTCTAGTCTATAGTCTAGTCTATAGTCTAGTCTATAGTCTAGTCTATAGTCTAGTCTATAGTCTAGTCTATAGTCTAGTCTATAGTCTAGTCTATAGTCTAGTCTATAGTCTAGTCTATAGTCTAGTCTATAGTCTAGTCTATAGTCTAGTCTATAGTCTAGTCTATAGTCTAGTCTATAGTCTAGTCTATAGTCTAGTCTATAGTCTAGTCTATAGTCTAGTCTATAGTCTAGTCTAGTCTAGTCTATAGTCTAGTCTATAGTCTAGTCTATAGTCTAGTCTATAGTCTAGTCTAGTCTAGTCTAGTCTAGTCTATAGTCTAGTCTATAGTCTAGTCTATAGTCTAGTCTATAGTCTAGTCTATAGTCTAGTCTATAGTCTAGTCTATAGTCTAGTCTATAGTCTAGTCTAGTCTAGTCTAGTCTATAGTCTAGTCTACAGTCTAGTATATAGTCTAGTCTAGTCTATAGTCTAGTCTATAGTCTAGTCTATAGTCTAGTCTATAGTCTTGCATACAGTCTAGTCTATAGTCTAGTCTAGTCACACAGCTTCATACGTAACGTATTTTTTCTTCTTACGAAGGTAAGTTGTATAATAGAGAAAAAATCTCACTTACCCCTTTCTTCGGCTAATTTCGTTTGATACAAACTGCTGTAGGTATACATGCCGACACCACCACCACCTGTATTAGCACTATTGGAGCCAGTTATTGTAGACCAGGTGGTTGTTAGAGTAGTGACAATTGTTGTTATAAAACGCATAAGCCAAGATTCTTCATATTTGTTATTGTAATTATAAACATTTCTGCTCGTACGATATGTTTGATATTGTGAATAATCAACTTCATCTCCAGAATCATAAGCTAATCTTTCAGCTGCTCTTCTGTTTTGTGTATATTTGGAGGATTCATAACGACGTCTGATTTGTTCTTCTTGGGCGGGATTACGTTGTATCATATAATTGATGCGTTCATGATGATTCTCCAATGATTGGCGGGACATGTTGGGCATGGCTACAATACCGGGTGCCAATTCACGTCTGTGTGGAGATAATTCCGAATAGGTGTAATCTGTTTTGGGGGTGGTTCTAAAGAGAAGTAAAATATTATTTATAATGATATTAAATGTTATTAAACAAAATTTTTTAACTTACTTCCAATATTCTCCTGCTTTTTTGTATTCCAAATAGGCAATATGATCACTGGCATCTAAATTGAGACTACCATCACCAAATGAATTACCCAAGAAACCGCTTAAGGATTTGTTTTTACTGGTGCTTAGCTCCTTTTCAGCATTTAATACATTTTGTGTGTGTTCTTTATATCTACGCTGTTGGCTGCTATGATCGCTTTTGACACCACCACCACCACTTCCACCTCCCTCACTTCTTGAAGCATATTGTGAGGCAAAACTTGTAACAAAATTACTGGCCTTTGGTGTTGAAGTAGCAACGCTGCTACTTCCTCCTAATTTCTTACTTTTTGTTATAACCGTTGTTGATGTACGTGTTTCGCTTAAGGTTTGTTTTTGTTGTTGTGTATATCCTTGAGCTGTTGCGGAGGAGGAGGAAGTTGTTGTTGTGGTTCTGGTGTTAATTTTGTTTTTATTTTCTGGACTTTCTTCACTGGAGTAATCGGATGTTTTGATTTTAGTTTGTGCCATTTTTGAGGGACTATCTTTGCCACTTCCAACTGTGGATGATGATGTTACCTCAACGGTTTCTTCAACAATAGTTCTTTAAAAGAATGAAAAATATATTAATTTAAAGAAATTCGATAGTAATATTATTATATTTTAAGAATAATTTTCATAAATAGCATGAATTTTCATAAAAAGTAGGAATTTTTACAAAAAAATCTATAAATCTTGACTTAAATTATTCCATTTCATGTATAATATCATTCTATTTATGAACTTTTCATATTCTGAATGAAAATAGTTTGTGAAAGAAGTTATATTAGATTCATACTATTTATTACAAAATTCATTTCAGTTATGTATTATGTTTTATCTGTTTAGATAGATAATGTAATAGCATTTTCTTTTTGAAATGTAAATTATTTGAAAAAACATTTAAACTTATTTGTTATTTTACTTTTTAGGCTAAAAACTAAACATACAGAGAGAAACTATTGTTTATTGACCTTTAAAACAAAATTGGCTATTTTCCACATGCAATCAACCTTAAAAGTTGTCAACAGAAAAGTTCATTGTCAATTTCAGTGAAATTATTTCACCTTTATTTCCAAAACACCCTCATAAATTACGTCATTATTTAAGAATTCTAATTCATGTTAGTTTGTTTATAAAAACTAGTATGTATTTTCAAAAATATAAATCATTTCGTAGGACAACTGTTACTTACAATTTGATATATTTTCAAACGCAGTATATAAGATTTTTATCGCAGTATAAAAAGTAAAACGTTTTAAAAGTTTTTTTGTAACAAGTTTTCAAATAGATTTTTGAATTTATCACCTTCGCCTGTAATATTGATTTAACAATCTTTAACAAATTCACAATAAAGGAAATGGTGTAAATTAAAAATTTAAGCTTAAATTGAGTTTGTTTTCGATACAAACTTTAAAAAGCGCTTTATTTATGTTTATTCTGTGGAAGTTCGTTAGTATTTAACTAGACTTAATTTTTTAATTCAACATTTGGCGCGTTATTTGTTGTTTAGCTTTATATTCTCTGTATATACGCAACTATTTCAACGAAAACTAAACGTATTTATAAAACGTGTTTGTATGTAATAATTGTATATATAATTTATATTGTGTTAATCACTCCCCTGGCTAAAAATCTATTTCGTATTTTGAGTTTCATGTCGTTTCATTTCAAATGATGACGTTATTTTTGGTTTTCAGGTACGTTATAAAAAAAAATTTGTTGTTTTGGCCGTCATTTGTTTTATAAAACTTTAACAATCATATTCCCTCAACATCAACAACACACATCGAGTCTAGTTGAGTTCAGTTTAGTTTGTTTTGTTGTTAAAATGAAAAAAAAAATAAATAAATAAATTTGAAGGTCACTTAACACGTTATATTTATGTATAAATTAATTTTTTTTTGAGCATATTTTTAGCTTATTTAAATATTTTATTTATTAGGAAAATGTTATAAGATTTAGTTGTGTGTGTAGATGTATATATTTGTTATTATTTATTCCTACATTTTTATTATAAAACATTTTTGTTATAGTTTTAAAACGTTAATGAAATGTTGAAAAAATTTATATTAAAAATGTAATTTCAAGTCTAAATCTCTAGACTTTTGAAAGCGTAGAGAAAACACATATAAAAATATAACAGTCAAAACTAATTTTTATTAAATAATTTTTAATTAAGAGAAATTAATTTTATAAAATTATTTTAAATTAAAAGTTTATTTTTATTTTCATTAAAAAATTTTCTATTTTTATTTAGTTAATTCTTTAAATTGTTTAATTTTGTATTTGTTGTTTTTTTATTTGCCAAATTTTTAATCTTTCTTTAGATAAGATTTAAATATGATTTATGTTTAAAACAAATTATTACCTATAATCTATAAAAAAAAGTTATTAATAGAGTTTAATAACTTCTTTAACACTTTAAGATCTTTTTGATAAAAACTTTCCATAGACGATAAACTAGTCAACAGATCTATTCATAAACTAGTCCTTAGACTAATCAATAGAATATTCCTCTATGCTATTTTATGTACTACACCATTTCAAGTTTAAATTGAGAAAATACAAACTCATATTGAGAATTTCAATTTAAAATTTAGAAAATTCAAATTAAAGTTCAGAAATATAAATTAATATTGAGAAAACCCCATTTGAAATTGAGAAATCCAAACTAATATTGAGAAATAATAAAATTAAATTAAGAAATGCAAATTCATATCGAGAAAAAACAAATTGAAATTCGGAATCCCAACATTATATTAAGAAATTACAAATTGAAATTGAGAAATTAATAAATGAAAATGAGAAATTTAAAATTTGTATGAAAATATTTTTCTTTTAAAATGTTTAAATAGGATATGGATTTAAAATAATATAAATTTCAATACAAAATTAGGTTTTCTTAATATCATTTTGTATTTTGTCAATTTCAATTCGTATTATCTCAATATTAATTTCGACTTCTCAATATCAATTGGTTTTTTCTCAATATTAAGTTGAAAATTCAAATTTCAATTTGTTTTTTCTTCATATCAATTTTGATTCCTAAATTTAATTTGGTATGTCTCAATATTAAATTGGATTTCTAAAATTCATTTTGGTGTTTCACAATATAACTTTGGATTTTCTCAAATTAAACTTGAAATGAAAGGTTAAGGTCAGTAGTAGGTAGGTGAATTTTTGGGCTATCTGGGAATTATTTTAAACATAGATAGCAAGGTATTGGGTGGGTGAAGGAATTTGAAGAGGGGATAACATCTTAACCTTCAACCATTTCTTCGGCTTTTAATTTCATCTTGTTTAATAATTTTTTTTGTTTTGGTCGATATTTAAAGTAGCTACCTAACTTTTAGATTAATGTGGTGAAACTAAGTCTTTCTGGGAAGGGACAAGAACACCATCCCAATTTCCCTGAGCACGGCCGGTACATTTAGGTAGCATAGCCCTTTTCAGTTAGAGCCATAGGATTTTCTCAAATTAAACTTGAAATGGTGTAGTCAATGCAATATTATGTGGACTACACCATTTTCAACAGTAATTCAGAAAAGCTCAATTGTAAATGAGATTTTTCATTTGAAATTAAGAAAAGAACATTTGAAAATGGGATTTTTCATTTGAAATTTAGAAAAGAACAATTAAAAATGAGAATTTTCATTTATAATTCAGAAAATGTCAATTGAAATTGAGATTTTCCATTTGAAATTCAGAAAAGAACAGTTGAAAATGAGATTTTTTATTTGAAATTCAGAAAACTATATGTATGGATATTTTTCAACCTTAAGTTAGAACAAAGAACATAGAATGTGCGTCTCATACAAGATAAATTTTCAATAGCGGGTCGTGATACATAAAGAGTACGTGTAAACCATGACAACCCGCACGTCGAGATGCGTATTCTTATAATAAATATTCTTTGGTTAAAATTAATTGTAATATTATCATTTTCATTTACTTTTTTCTCATTTTCAATTGCATTTTTCTGAAATTCAAATGAAAAATCTCATTTTCAACTGGAATTTTCTGAATTTCAAATGGAAAATCTCATTTTCAATTGGATTTTTCTGAATTTAAAATGAAAAATCTCATTTTCAATTGTTGTTTTCCGAATTTCAAATAAAAAATCTCATTTTCAACTTTTTTTTCTGAATTTCAAATGGAAAATCTCAATTTCAATTGATATTTTCTCAATTTAAAATGAAAATTCTCATTTTCAATTGTTCTTTTCTAAATTTCAATTGAAAAATCCCATTTTCAAATGTCCTCTTCTGAATTTCAAATGGAAATTCTCAATTTCAATTGATATTTTCTGAATTGAAATGAAAAGTTCTCATTTTCAATTGAAAAAGGTGTAGTTTACAGACATGTCCTAAGAATAGCCCATGGACAATTCTGTTGAGTATTAGACTGGTCAATAAGTTTGTCCACAAACTATTCTATGGACTAGTCCATAGACTATTCTATGGATTAGTCAATAGACCAGTTTGTGGACGAGTCTAAATACTATTTCGTGGACTAGTCAAAACACTAGTTCAAGGACTCGTCTATAGAATAGTATGTGGATTAGTCTATAGAATAGTTTGTGGATTAGTCTATAAGATAAGTTTATAAACCAGTTTATGGATTTATGAACTAGTCTATAGATTAGTTTGTGTACTAGTGTGTAAACTAGTTTATGGACTTTGGGGACAAGTCTATAGACCAGTTTGTAAACTAGTCTGCAGACTAGGTATGGTGTAGTCTATAGACTAGTCTATGGTATACAGTCTAGTCTATATACTAGTCTACGGTCTAGTCTTTATACTAGTCTATGGTCTAGTCTATAGACTAGTCTATGGTCTAGTCTATAGACTATGGTTTAGTCTATAGACTAGTCTAGTGTATAGACCAGTTTGTGGACTCGTGTATATACAAGTTTGTGGACTAGACTATAGACTAGTTTCTGGACTAGTTTGTAGAATAGCTTATTGACTAATTTATGAACTAGTCCATAGACTATTGTATGGACTAGTGAATATACTAGTTTGTGGGTATAGACTAGTTTATGAACTAGACCATAGACCAGTTTGTGGACTAGTGTACGGACTGGTTTATAGACTTGTTTGTAGACTATGTTATAGACTAGTTTATGGATTGTGGACTAGTCTGTAGACTAGTTTATGGACTAATCTATAAACTAGTTTGTGGACAAATCTATTCGTCAGTTTATCTACTAATCTTTTCGTTAGTCTATAAACTAATCTATTCACTAATCTATGGACTGTTCTATGATCCAGACTATTGATTAGTATTTGGACTAGTCTATTGACTAGTTTTTGGACTAGTCTATTGACTAGTTTTTGGACTAGTCGAGGGATTAATCTATTGACTAATTGAGGAACCATTCCATTAATTTTACAATGGAATAAACTATGGCCTTGTTTATTGACTAGTCTAGAAAGCTGTCTATGGACAAATCTTTTCACTATTCTATGGACTATTCTATTGACTAGTAGTAATTTCACTAGTAAGCTGACTAGTCTAAGGTTTAGTCTATGAACTTGTCGATTGACTAGTATACCGAACAATCTATGATCTGCGGTCTTGAGCAAATTGGTTTCAAAAGACATACAGAAGGACAGATAGACAGACAGACGGATATAGCATAATTGACTCCGATATCTATAAGGATCCCGAATATATATATATACTTTTAGAAATTTTCCTGGAAGTATTTAAATTTCACCAAAAACAATCTCTTAATTAAGAAAAATCACAAATAAACTTAAAAGTAAAATTCTCAACTTACTTCACATTTGGTGCCAAAGATGTAATTTTTTTCTTTTGATGATGTACATGTGGTTCATCGCCAACATGATCACAATTTTCATGATCACAACTGGAACGTAAAAATGGTGTTTTCGACCTAGATCGACGTCTAGTCTCTATAGTATATTCACTCATCTTTTAAACACTTTTATGATGATTTCTATTTCAAAGCTGTTGGAAAGAAAATAAAAAGATTAAAAAAAATTTGTATGAAAACGAAAATATAAACAAAATTTTTTAACGTAAATAAACAAAAAAAAAAAACACCAGAAGTTTTTAACCACATAGATTGATAATAGATTATAGCGAGAGACTAGCACATTATGCAGACATACCTTACATATTGTACTAACATGTATGGCAAGATAAGTAAATAAAACCAGTACAACAGAAATTATGGTGGGGCAAAGATAAAGCAATATTGTAAATGGGGAAAAGAAAAGGAGTGTCTTGTTTACAGTATTACGTATGAGTAAACTATAGCAAGAAGTTTAAGATATATATTATTATAATTGAGCAAAAATATTAGAAATATTAACCTTAAATAGGCATAAAGAGATCAAAATAGTTTATTTTTATCTAAGAAATCTAAAACAACATTTAAGGTTTAACACAAACTCCCTGGGTTGTTGCTTAGAAAACTAATACTCTATGCTAATATGCAAAACAAACAGACAATTGATATATAAAATGATTAAAAATGTACTTCTCAATTGCCACATGGCTAGACAGACAGAAATCATTTTACCCTTATATAAAAAAATAAACTTACATAGTGGAAGTATGTAAATATGTAAGTATGTAAAACAATAAAATATTTGTTAATGGAGGGGGAAGAATAATTGACTCGAAGTCAAACAAGTTTTCGTGTTGAAAAAGCTTTGTTATTAATTAAAATAACTTTGTAAATGAGGAATAATTTAGAAAAAACACTTACAATTCAATTAATGCAAAAAAAAACTCATAAAATTTATAATTGTTTTAAGTAATAGAAAAAAATTTATTAAATACCTTTAAAGAATATTAATGAGATTTTAATACGAAGTATTGATATTGTTTTAAAATATGTATGGAATTCTTTTTATAACAGATAAAGCCTTAGTTCTCTTTGTAAAAATGGCGCAATGTTTTATTGGTGATATTGTTTGAGTAACGAAGTCGCAAAAGTAACATGTGGCAAACATTTTGCCGGTTAATAATAAAATTTTGATAAGACTTCGTTGACTTTGTAGAGCAAAAGTAAAAGAATAACGTATTTTTGTTTGAACTTATGAATCACAAAGTGAAAGATGGAAAAGGGATCACAAAATAATTTGCCAAGAAGAAGATTGAGTTGTTCTTTTATTCAGCTATGATGTCATTTTTTATTTATGTTTGTTTTCATTTAAGCTAGATACATAATAATGAATTATTTGCGAAAATACTTTTTAGAATAGTTTGTTCTAGGCAAACAGAGTTAAGTTAAAACTTTTATTCTGAGAGTAAATTAGTTTAAATTATAATTGAATTAATAAAAGAAGACACGTGACTTGATCTTAATAAATAGGGGCCTGTTAAAAGAAACTGTCAATTAAAGATATTATGACTTTTAAACGTTCCCATATTAAAATCTCCTAAACGATCCAAAATTTAATCTATTAAAGATTTTAAACTATACTAGAACAAAAAGAACTAACACTGAACTAGGTTCGGTTAAAACTAGAACTGAACTAGAATAGAACTAGAACTGAACTGAACTAGAATTGAAATTTAACTGATCTAGAGCACAACTAGAACTCAACTAGAACTGAACTAGAACTGAAATAGAACTGAAATAGAACCGAACTAGAACTGAACTAGAACTGAACTAGAGCACAACTAGAACTGAACTAGAACTGAAATATAACTGAACTAGAACTGAACTAGAACTGAACTAGAACTGAACTAGAACTGAACTAGAACTGAACTAGAACTGAACTAGAACTGAACTAGAACTGAACTAGAACTGAACTAGAACTGAACTAGAACTGAACTAGAACTGAACTAGAACTGAACTAGAACTGAACTAGAACTGAACTAGAACTGAACTAGAACTGAACTAGAACTGAACTGAACTAGAACTGAACTAGAACTGAACTAGAACTAGAGCTGAACTAGAACTAGAGCTGAACTAGAACTGAACTAGAACTAGAGCTGAACTAGAACTGAACTAGAGCTGAACTAAAACTGAACTACAACTGAACTAGAACTGAACTAGAACTGAACTGGAACTTAACTAGAACTGAACTAGAACTGAACTAGAACTGAACTAGAACTGAACTAGAACTGAACTAGAACTGAACTAGAACTGAATTAGAACTGAACTAGAACTAGAACTGAACTAGAACTGAACTAGAACTGAAATAGAACTGAACTAGAACTGAACTAGATTTGAACTAGAACTGAACTAGAACTGACAAACATTATTTTAAAACTATTTTAAATCAATTTAGCTTATTACTCATTTCGTGAAATATAATTAACACACATTTTAGGTCGTTTTGTAAAAATACACAGACTGTATGTGCTCCCAAATAAAATTTTGCGTAAAATGTCTCAAAGCCCCCCAAATTAAACGAAATACACACACGCACAAATATTATGCAATATAAAATTTAGCACAATTAAAATAAAATTTCTTTCATAAAAAACTTTAAAGTGTTTCGTGCTAAATACTTTTTACAGGGATTTTAAAAATGAAATATTTTGGTAGCAGGGGAATTAGTACAAATTGGGCTTTCATCGAAGGCAAATAAACAAACAATCCCCTGAAGAAAAGAAAGTAAAATTGGCACAATATATACAGTGCTGATCAAAAATAAACCTTAATGTGAGGAAATAAAAGATAATTTAAAAAAATATATATTTCCAACAAAAAATGCTTAACCCATCTAAAAACTTCGATATTGGCAAAGAAAATTGCGTAAGTTCAAATTATCATATCTAAATTATCACACCGTTTTGATTCTTTTTATTCATATAAATTAACTTAGCAAATTATGTGAATATATTGCTAAATTATCACACCGTTTTGATTCTTTTTATTCATATAAATTAACTTAGCAAATTATGTGAATATATTGCTAAAATTTTGACGTATAGTGTACTTTTAAATAAATCTATAATTAGAATGTATTTGTGTAAATAAGAGAAATTTTAAGAACATAAAATCTATTTGTTTAACAAAAATTAGTCAGCCACACATTGAGAAACATTAAAATAAATTTATTTTCAAAATGAAACAAATATGTAAAAAATAGTATATACGATCATATCAGACAAATGATGGCCTATAATAAAAAACTATAAATATTAGCATATTAAGATTTTCGGAAGGAAGGTTTAATGCAAATGTTACACTCATCAGAGTGATATAGTTTTTGGATCATGAAAGTTTTATTCAAATGTTCGGTCAATTCGAGGCTTGGATTAAATATAGAGTATGTTAAACCGACTATGATTATGATCTTTATTCGATTATTGCGGACAAATTTTTATTATTACAGATCGATTCTTGATAGCCTTATCCTAAAATCAACTCTGCAGAAAAGCTGGATGATTTCATAATAAAACAGAATAAAACCAACTAACGATCGATCCATAGCGACTAAGCGACGAGGATCTAGCGAGGAGCGAGACGAGCGAGCACGACAGCGATCGATCGAAGCGACGACGGCGGGAGCGAGCACGAGGAGCGAGAGAGCGAGAACTAGCATCGGACGGCACGATCTAGCGAGGAGCGACGATCTGCAAGCTATCTATCTATCTATCTATCTATCTATCTATCTATCTATCTATCTATCTATCTATCTATCTGTCTATCTATCTATCTATCTATCTATCTATCTATCTATCTATCTATCTATCTATCTATCTATCTTCTATCTATCTATTATCTATCTATTCTATCTATCTATCTATCTATCTATCTATCTATCTATCTTCTATCTATCTATCTATCTATCTATCTATCTATCTATCTATCTATCTATCTCTCGATCTATCTATCTATCTATCTATCTATCTATCTATCTATCTATCTATCTATCTATCTATCTATCTATCTATCTATCTATCTATCTATCTATCTATCTATCTATCTATCTATCTATCTATCTATCTATCTATCTATCTATCTATCTATCTATCTATCTATCTATCTATCTATCTATCTATCTATCTATCTATCTATCTATCTATCTATCTATCTATCTATCTATCTATCTATCTATCTATCTATCTATCTATCATACTTAAATCGAATCAGAAGTGATTGCTTAATTTCAAAGTTGTTGTTGGAACTATTACTTTTGATCTTACAAATATCTGCACAATAACATAATAACGCCGCCCACTAAAGAGTAGGGGGTATAAATAAAATCGAAATCTCTTAATTTTATAAACAAAATTATATGTTCAAAAGTGAATTGTGTAAAAAAAAACTGTACTTGAAATTAAAAAAATAGCAATAAAAATAAAACAAAATTAATACAAGGTTGTAAATTATAGCCTTACACATACTAGGTATACATTTTTAATAAAATAAAACATAAAGTTAAATTTATTGCCACTTTTATTTAATAATTTGCAATAACTTTAAACTGTTGTTTATTTTTTTCAAATTTCTTTGATTCCCACCCCTAAACTGCAAAACAATGACGATGAAATTACAAAAACAATTGCTATGACACATTCCAAAAACACACATGTTGAAGAAAAATCTCCAGAAGAGAGAAACGGCAAAAAACGGCTTGAAAAAACTCAACACAAATATGCAGGAAAAATGGAAAGGAAAATAACAAGAACAACAAAAAAAGCTGTAAAAACATTTGCTTGGATTTCTACACACATGCACACACAAGTTATAAACAAAAAAAGAAAAATTATCGATCAAATGAAAATACAGGAGAAGGAAAAACTAGTTTTTCCCACAATTTTATATTTTCCTTGTTAGATTTCTAACAAGACGCGGTGGCCTCCTCTCTCCGCTAGCAATAAGACGCAACAACAAAAAAATGTTTATACATATTAATTACAACAACAACATCAAGTCTTAAGAAGCACTAAAAATGCGGTCATCACTGATTTTGGACACAATTGATTACAAAAAAGATTTATTGATAAAAAGTAACACTTACTTTTCTATAATTTATTTACACACTTTGTTTTTTATTAATTTCCACAAATTATAATTGTTTTTGCAAAAAATTTTTTTTTTTCAGTTGAAAATTTTTAACATTTTTTTTACACCCAAGAAAATTGTTTGCGGTGTTTTTTCACACTGTATTTTCTTATTATATTTTCCTTGATTGTATGTATAAGTTGTTTAATTAAAAATAAACATTAATTAGTCACTCAAATTATTTATGCAAAATATTTTTTTTAATAGTTTCTTTTTTTTGCTGCTTTTATAATTTATTAGATTCTTTTTAACAGAACACTCGCGTTGTACGACGAACGTCCGCTTGCTTCAATTTAAAATATGCGAATGAAACAAAAACAGAATGAACGCTTATCAACAGATCCCTGCGCCGACAAACTTTAAAGACGGCTGACATTAAAAATTTCAGCGGCGTCTTAAAATAGATGGCGTCAAAGTGTTTTTTAAATATATAAACGTTATTAAAGAAAAACGGAATACCAGTGATAAAGAAGTGGGATTTTGGAAGTAAAAATCGGTATTTTTGAAATTTTCTACATATAAAATCGGGACTTAATACAAAAAATATGAGAATTGTCGATGATTGTGCAGCGATGAATCTGAATCTAACCCCAAAATTTTTCCATCGTATCAGATTCTCCAGATATCGTGTCATATAATAAAGTTTTAACAACTGTTATATATTCTTTTTTTTAAGATATTTTACTTAACGTCTGAAACCACTAAAAATACCAAAAGAAGTTATTTTATTGATATTATTTTGCAACAAAAACTTCAACGGACGATATCTTAGAGAATACAAGAAGAGTAAGATAAAAAATCAGTTTTTGTTAATTTAAGATTGTTCCAAAGCTATATGAGACATCAAACTGTAATATGTTTGAAAAAAAAAGTTTGTATCAAACGACGTTCAACCGCAGCTAATAATAGAGCGCTACCAGATGTTTTTGTTTTACACAGTTGTATTTCATGGTAGAACTGGCAGAGTTGCACTTTTTTCTTATATATTTTTTTCTTATATAATAAAGCGACGATAACAGCTGTCTGTAACCTTAAAAGTATGCTTCCATCCTAAAGGTATGCTAAGCTGTGTTGAAAAATACTGAATTGATCAAATAAAGATTATTCAATAGATTTTTTATACAAAAATCGATTTTTGATGGAAAATTGAAGTGAAGTTTGACTATTTTCCCGATTTTTCACGGTTCTTAGGACGATTGGAGCCTTATTTAAGGGTCTACACCCGATTTTAACTTTCTTATATAAAAATCTTTTTTTTTTGTGGGAAATATGAGTGATCACAGATTTTCACTATTTTCTCAATTGGAGCGTTATTTAAGGAACTACACCCCATTTTATGTTTTTCCTATAAAAATCGTTTTTTGGTGAGAAACATGAGTGATCACAGATTTTCACTATTTTCTCAATTGGAGCGTTATTTAAGGAACTACAGCCGATTTTATCTTTTTCCTATAAAAATCGATTTTTAGAGGTAAATATCAGTGATCACATATTTTCACTATTTTTTCAATTGGAACGTTATTTAAGGAACTACAGCCGTTTTTATGTTTCTCCTATAAAAATCGTTTTTTGGTGAGAAACATGAGTGATCACAGATTTTCACTATTTTCTCAATTGGAGCGTTATTTAAGCCGATTTTAAGTTTTTCCTATAAAAATCGATTTTTAGTGGAAAATATTAGTGATCACTGATTTTCACTATATTCTCAATTGGAGAGTTATTTAAGGAACTACAGCCTATTTTATGTCTTTCCTATAAAAATCGATTTTTAGTGGGAAATATGAGTGATCACAGATTTTTTTTTTCTCAATTGAAGCGTTGAATTGATCACAAATTTTGGTTATTTTATCGATCGAAGCATAATCTACATGCTTTTTTAGATTCTCATTGAGTGTTTTTTTAATGAGATATTGTAAAATTAAAAAATTCATTATATTTTAATGTTTTTTTTTATATATGCATTTTATTTATTCCTTTAATTAATTTTTTTATAAACTGTAGTTGTTTATTTTATTAATACGATACAATTACTATTTATTATTATTATTTTACTACAAACTTTCTCTCTTACTAAATAAAATTAAAATTGAGGAATTAAACTAAAAAAAAATATTTAAATAGTCCAAAGCGTAAAAATGTCAAAAAGAAAAAAAAAAATAAATTAAAAAACGAAAATATAACGTTTAAAAAAAAAATAAAGCTGCAAAACTTAAATCATAAGAAAGGATTGTTTGAAAGCAATAAATTACACACCAACTGTGAAAATCAAACACAAGCTACAGCAATTTATAAAAAAGAAAAGGAAAACTTAATGCTTTTCTTTAGACAAAACAATAATATTGTTCTTTTTGTGGAAACTTTATAAGTACAAAGAGAATTTAAAGGAAAAGCTGGAAACACATCGTCAAGCGAAGAAAACATATAAATCTCCTCCAAAACAGTCGTCGTTCGACTGTTTACTTATGCAAAGCAGCAGTGTCTAATTTGGGTTCGGGCTTCGAAGCCATACCGGACAAAAGTTTCTTAATTTCAGCAATAGCACGACCGGGATTCAAACCCTTGGGGCAGGTGCGTGTGCAGTTCATGATGGTGTGACATCTGTAGACACTGAAGGGATCCTTAAGTTTGCCCAAACGTTCAGAGGTGCTTTCATCACGAGAATCGATGATCCAACGATAGGCCTGCATAAGAACAGCAGGTCCCAAGTACTTTTCGGAATTCCACCAGTAAGAGGGACAAGAGGTAGAGCAGCAAGCACACAAAATACACTCATACAAACCGTCCAATTTGGAACGATCTTCTACGGATTGCAAGTATTGAGCTTTGCCCTTTTGTTCGGAGGCTTCGTTTCTAAAAGATTTATTAGATATTTGAAATAAATTTGTTTATAAAATTTTATAAATTTGCTTACTTGCGTTGCAACCAGGGTTGAATGGATCTGTATTGTTCGTAGAAGTTATTCATATCGGGCACTAAATCACGTACCACATACATATGTGGCAAAGGATAAACCTTCAATGGTTTCGAGGTGTTGGTATCGATTTTGCTAAAAATATTTAGATTTAAAAACCTAGTTATTTAAATGTTATCAAATTTTGTTGTAAGAAAGATTTCCCGCTTATCTTTTCGAATTTGGTGTTTTTTTTAATTTGTTTAATGTTTTTAGTTAGATAACGAAAGTGTTTGGTCATAGTAAATATTTTAAAACAGACCTTATATTAAAATGGGCTGATAATTATTATTTAGCTGCTTAATATGTTGTTGTCTTTAAAAGTATTGTTTGATTTCCATAACCTTGGGATATATCGGTTAAAATTTTTTGTAGAATTTTGATTATTTATCACATTTTGCATTTATATACAATTCTGCGGTTTGAGTCTTAAATAGATTTCTGGAAATTTATATAAGGTTTTTTAATAAGAATTTTCAAAATAGTTCCTACCGAATTCCGAAAGGATTTCGCCCAAAAATTTACTATATTTAAGAAAAATCTCGTATAATGGATTTTCTTAGAAAAAGTCAATTAAAAAACCGTTGAAAAACATTGAAAATAAGTTATGAATGTCGACATAAGTCGAAAGAACTCCAAAAATTTCGAAAATTCGATATTAAAGAAGTTCGAAAAGTCGAATTTCTGTTTTAATATAGAACATTAGAATTTTTTAAATCTAAGTCCACTGTTATGTTCCAAAAAAAAAAAAAAAAAACAGCCGTAAATCGACAATTTTGTTGGAAAAAAGTCAAAAAGTCGACTTTGTAAATAAAAGTCGAAATATGTCGAAAAAATTCGACTTTTTGTAAGAAAAAATTTTGAAAATTTATTAAAAACGTTCGAAAAATTGCATTTCTTTATCAACAAAAGTCAAAAAGTCGATTTTGTAAATAAAAGTCGAAAAAATTCGACTTTTTGTAGGAAAAAATTTTGAAAATTTATTAAAAACGTTCGAAAAATTGCATTTCTTTATCAACAAAAGTCAAAAAGTCGATTTTGTAAATAAAAGTCGAAAAAATTCGACTTTTTGTAGGAAAAAATTTTGAAAATTTATTAAAAACGTTCCAAAAATTGTATGTCTGTTTCAACTATAGTAAGAAAAAAATCGAAAAGACGACTTTGTAAATAAAAGTCAGAAAATGTTGAATTTTTGTCGCAAAAAAATTTAGTAATTATAAAAGAACGAAATTCAAAATGTAAAGGTCTTCTTTTCGTAATTTGGAAAATGAAGAGTCAGTAAATCGACTATCTTCTAGAAAAAACAGTCAAAAAGTCGACTTTGTAGATAAAAGTCGAAATAACACGGACAAATTCGACTTTTTGTAGGAAAATTTTTCGAAAAAGTCCATTTTAAAAACGTTCGAAAAGTTGAATTCCTGTTTCAAGTATAGAACACACTCGCTTGTAAGAAAAAAGTCGAATAGACGACTTTTTAAATAAAAGCCTATTATGGAAAAATTGGAAAATTTTTAATTTTTTTCGAAAAAAAATTAAGTAATTTGTAGAAAAAAATCTAAAGTAACGTTGAAAAAAGTTAACTAGTCCAAAAAGTCGATATTAAGAAGTTCGATAAGTCGACTTTTTTTGTTTAAAAAAGAAAAGAAAGAAAGAATGTTAACTTCAAAATTGTAAAAACTGAAAAATCTACTTCTTCTAAATTGAAAAATAGCGAAAAGTTTTCTGAAATTGCTAAAAGTCCACGTTTTGTTTTACTATAGAATCTAATAGAAAACTAAAGTTATTTTATAAAAATCCGAATTTCAGGAGAATGACTAAAATGGGGACAAATTTATAAAGAAAATATTTAATATCAGCGTATTTCTCTAAGATAGACTTTCATAGTGCTAATTATCCTGACGTCAGAATCTAATCTAGAAACTTTTATTATAAGCAATTAAGTTATATTAGGAAAACCCCATTGCCTACTAAAAACTAGAAATTATAAGAAAAAGTTTTTCATTTATTATAATTTCAAATGAAAATGATCCACAATAACTTGTTTTTATGCATCCAAATTAATTTTCATTATTCAAAAAACACTGCCTTGGTTTTTTTCCATTGACTCTAAACTAAAAGTCAATTAAGGAAAATTTATGGGCCAAGCAGGTAAACGAGAATATACACCAATTAGATGTCCACACACAGCATATGAAACTAATAATAAAAACGTACCCAAAATCTTTCTTTTTTTTACCTACAAAAAAGGTCAAACTAAAGATGTTCTTTTCATTTAAGATTTCTATAGATTATTATGGAAAATTCCATAATATTTAATAAAAAAAGAACCAAATCATCTAATCATTATAGCTTTTCTAAAAAAAGAATACACATTTCTCTTCTCAGCGCGTCTTTTTTTAAAAAAGAAAACTTACCTAATGCAAGCCAATGTATTGGTACCAGCAATGTTCATGGCACAGGAACCGCAAATGCCTTCACGGCATGAACGACGGAAAGTCAAAGTGGGATCCATTTCGTTTTTGATCTTAATCAAAGCATCCAAAACCATAGGACCACATTCGCGTAAGTTAACCTCATAGGTTTGCATGTAGGGCTTTTCACCAGCATTGTCGGGATTCCAACGATAGATTTGGAAAGTTTTAATTTGTGGTGCAGGGGTTTCTTGGGCTTGAGCCTGCTGGTTTTGTTGATTGCCAGAGGTAAGGGAACGCAACTAAAATAACAACAACAAACATAAAGCAACAATTTAAATACAATTTGAAAAATCATTAAAAATATAATATATAGAACTTTATATGTTCTCTTAAGGTAGGGGGTGTGTTTGTTTTAGTCAACTTAACAAATTTAATTTGCACATGATTCTTTTTATACACTAAGCACAATATTATCAAGCGTTTACATAACAATATTTTTATTGCAAAATTAAAATTTTCTTCATTTAATTTTCTAATAAACTTTGCGTGTTATTTTTATAATTTTGTTATTATTTTCACATTATTAAATGCTTATGTAAGATATTTCTAGACCCCACTTAATATTTTGGTGGTGGTTATATCCAATTCCCTACCTGCTGACGTGCGGCCAGAGCACCAGTACGGCTCAACATCAAACGGGCTTCATTAACCAACATTATTGTTCTTTTTATATCTGTTTAGTATAGATTTAATTTTATACTTTAAACTTTGGTTTTATAACTAAAATTGAAACGTCACTGCGTTTGCAATTTACGATTTAATTAAAGAAAATTCAAAAATTTTGTCTTATTTTCCCGTGGAAAAATTTTCGACTTGTTTGTTGAAAAACTCTCACAGCAGACTGGCCAACTTCGGATAAAATCTTTGCTCTCATTATTTGTTTTGCAATTTTGACAGTAGTCAAAATGTGACATCTACGGGGATGCCAGATAAATTTTAAGGAAAATCGTCAATTCAAAATATAAAATGTTTCCAAAAAAAAAAACACAAATCAATTTAAGGATTTTTTTTTGAAAAATATCTGAATTATTTCTAAAGAAACATCAAAACTTTGTTTTACTATCATAAACTTGAACAAAAAGTTGATCCATATTTATTTTTCCCAGAATTTGTAGTTTTTAAATTTGTGAAGTTTAATATTTGTCAATCGTTTTTTAATTAAGTTAAAGGTTAACATTTTTGAAGCAAAAATCGTTAAATTGACTCTTTACTATATTTTTAAAGTAAAAAATCGTTAAGTCTGGCATTTCTGCACATATGACACGAAGCAGAGTTGTATGCACACAGAGTGTCTGGCGCTGCCAGACTTGCAGAGACTTATGTTGATAAAAAACGCAATTAAAATTAAAAATGTTTCAAAAACTGGGAAAGCAGAGGTGATGCGTTTTGTACTTTTGGTTGTGAGATTGGATAAATACTTTGGGGTGGAAAAAATACTGGGTTGGGAAATAGACTAAACGCAGCAATGGTGGATAAGTAAAACTTCCACACTTCCCAACTAACTAACTAACTAACTAACTAACTAACTAACTAACTAACTAACTAACTAACTAACTAACTACTAACTAACTAACTAACTACTAATAACTAACTAACTAACTAACTAACTAACTACTAACTAACTAACTAACTAACTAACTAACTAACTAACTAACTAACTAACTAACTAACTAACTAACTAACTAACTAACTAACTAACTACTAACTAACTAACTAACTAACTAACTAACTAACTAACTAACTAACTAACTAACTAACTAACTAACTAACTAACTAACTAACTAACTAACTAACTAACTAACTAACTAACTACTAACTAACTACTAACTAACTAACTAACTAACTAACTAACTAACTAACTAACTAACTAACTAACTAACTAACTAACTAACTAACTAACTAACTAACTAACTAACTAACTAACTAACTAACTAACTAACTAAACTAACTAACTAACTAACTAACTAACTAACTAACTAACTAACTACTAACTAACTAACTAACTAACTAACTACTACTAACTAACTAACTAACTAACTAACTAACTAACTAACTAACTAACTAACTAACTAACTAACTAACTACTAACTACTAACTAACTAACTAACTAACTAACTAACTAACTAACTAACTAACTAACTAACTAACTAACTAACTAACTAACTAACTACTAACTAACTAACTAACTAACTACTAACTAACTAACTAACTAACTAACTAACTAACTAACTAACTAACTAACTAACTAACTAACTAACTAACTAACTACTAACTAACTAACTAACTAACTAACTAACTAACTAACTAACTAACTAACTAACTAACTAACTAACTAACTAACTAACTAACTAACTAACTAACTAACTAACTAACTAACTAACTAACTAACTAACTAACTAACTAACTAACTAACTAACTAACTAACTAACTAACTAACTAACTAACTAACTAACTAACTAACTAACTAACTAACTAACTAACTAACTAACTAACTAACTAACTAACTAACTAACTAACTAACTAACTAACTAACTAACTAACTAACTAACTAACTAACTAACTAACTAACTAACTAACTAACTAACTAACTAACTAACTAACTAACTAACTAACTAACTAACTAACTAACTAACTAACTAACTAACTAACTAACTAACTAACTAACTAACTAACTAACTAACTAACTAACTAACTACTAACTAACTAACTAACTAACTAACTACTAACTAACTAACTAACTAACTAACTAACTAACTAACTAACTAACTAACTAACTAACTAACTAACTAACTAACTAACTAACTAACTAACTAACTAACTAACTAACTAACTAACTAACTAACTAACTACTAACTAACTACTAACTAACTAACTAACTAACTAACTAACTAACTAACTAACTAACTAACTAACTAACCTAACTAACTAACTAACTAACTAACTAACTAACTAACTAACTAACTACTAACTAACTAACTAACTAACTAACTAACTAACTAACTAACTAACTAACTAACTAACTAACTAACTAACTAACTAACTAACTAACTAACTAACTAACTAACTAACTAACTAACTAACTAACTAACTAACTAACTAACTAACTAACTAACTAACTAACTAACTAACTAACTAACTAACTAACTAACTAACTAACTAACTAACTAACTAACTAACTAACTAACTAACTAACTAACTAACTAACTAACTAACTAACTAACTAACTAACTAACTAACTAACTAACTAACTAACTAACTAACTAACTAACTAACTAACTAACTAACTAACTAACTAACTAACTAACTAACTAACTAACTAACTAACTAACTAACTAACTAACTAACTAACTAACTAACTAACTAACTAACTACTCATAACTAACTCTAACTAACTAACTAACTAACTAACTAACTAACTAACTACTAACTAACTAACTAACTAACTAACTAACTACTAACTACTAACTAACTAACTAACTAACTAACTAACTAACTAACTAACTAACTAACTAACTAACTAACTAACTAACTAACTAACTAACTAACTACAACTAACTAACTAACTAACTAACTCCTAACTAACAACTACTAACTAACTAACTAACTAACTAACTAACTACTAACTAACTAACTACTAACTAACTAACTAACTAACTACTAACTAACTAACTACTAACTAACTAACTAACTAACTAACTAACTAACTAACTAACTAACTAACTAACTACTAACTACTAACTAACTAACTAAACTAACTAACAAACTAACTAACAAACTAACTACTAACTAACTAACTAACTAACTAACTAACTAACTAACTAACTAACTAACTAACTAACTAACTACTAACTAACTAACTAACTAAACTAACTAACATAACTAACTAACTAACTAACTAACTAACTAACTACTAACAAACTAACTAACTAACTAACTACTAACTACTAACTAACTAACTATCTAACTAACTAACTAACTAACTAACTAACTAACTAACTAACTAACCAATTAACTAACTTACTTACTAACTTGTTAATAGTTATATACTACAATACCAGTTATAAAGGCAATCTATTACATTTGATGGGCTAAATAAGGTATAGTTTAGAAAAAAATTTAAAGTGTCTACTTTTTAATTTAGTAGGGGTCAATGAAGTGACGATTGACATCTTTATTGCTGAATTGTTGTCAAATTAATAAAGAAATATAAGTTCGTCCACTTTTATATAGTAGTAAATATTGGTAAACTGTAGATGTACGCAGCAGTTTGGGGGGATAGACCTTTCACTTAGTCGCTAACATGGGATTGTTGTTAGTCCATATATTACTAACTAGCAGTCAGAAAACTTATCCAAAGAAGTCAAAGTCATGGAATTGAATAAAGTTATTACGTGGAGTCTATCCTCTAGATTACTTGGTAGCACTAAAGTAACAATTGACTCCCCAGAAAATAACTGTAAAGCCGGGTTTAAATCAGAGAAATGGAGTTAAATTTATCATTGAGTCTATAATTATTTATTCTATCTGTACTTCGCTTATTATGTTATACTACATTGTACATATGTTATTTAAAGATATTTTAAGATATTTATAAAAAATTTAAGTTTTGGCATTAAATTACACATTATTTACATTGTAAATGCTTTAGTTATTACTATTTACACAACTTAATACTTTATTTAACGATTACAGGATTTTTTTCTCCTTTGTTTCTAAACTCTTTAAATACAATTTTCTTAACAGCTTTTTTTTTATAGCTTGCTTTTCTTTTCTTTTGTTTTGCTAGTGACACAAAAACTGAGAAAACTTTTTTCTTTAGCCTAAATAAGGTGATTAACGAAGACAAATATACATGTACACAAGAAAAGTGACTGACTAACGGTATCAAGAAGAACAATGGATGCAAACAGAAAAAAAAAGTAGAGATGAAGGTAAGAAGAATGTAAAAATACATCTATTTACAGATAAACACCACTTGGCTTTATATAAAGACATTTAATAACATTTTACACGACAATTACCGTTAATGGGGAATATGAAGGATATACAATGAAACGGGCAGATGTTAGAGGTAAAGAGAAATACAAATACAAGAAACAATGTTAGTTTAACAATAATCAAAACAGTTAATTGCTAAGAAAGTTAAAATAATATAAAGCAAAACAAAAAACTTTAGTAGAGAAAAGTACAGAATTTTTGCAAAATATTATAGGTGAGAGGAAGGAACCCTATGAACGGCAGTTATTTGCTGATATAAATAAGACGTTTATGATTATTTGAAATAATATTAAAAGAAAATATATTCGAAATATAAGTTTGAGCTTATATTCTTCATGGAATAGATTTATACATTATTTGAAACTCGATTGAAAACACTTTCACAAAGCCACGCCCACTATAGCAGAACCGCCCATTTTTCCACTAAATGTTTATATGTATGTCAACGTTATCTCTTAGGACTCTTAACTGTTGCAGTTTTTGAGATAAGTGTTATTTATTTTGTATGTGGGCGAGGCTTTTCGCCTACTTTTCGTAGGGATTACAAAAATCGTCTTTAGCCATTTAAAAACAATTTTACCTGTTGTTTGTTTCTTAAGAAAGTAAAACTTTTCAAGTTTTATGTTCAAGACAATTAAAACTTAAAGGATTTTCCTTTTAACATGCTTTACAAAATCTACAAAATGTTACTAAAGAAATGCGAACTTAGGGCAACATTTTAAAAACCATTTTTGACCATTAAAATGAAAATTACTTTTAAAGAATTTAAATGTTCTCATCATTATATTTTTTGCTTAAATATTTAATTTTATCTTTAGTCTATAGGCAAAAAAAAAAACAGTAGCGAGTATTCCCTGTCTGTGTCTTGGAAATTCCCCAAACGTATTTGCAAGTGTAAACGAAG